CATTCTAAGATAGTAGAAATTTCTTTTTATTCTAAAAAATGATTCAATCCATAAAAATCATAATACTTTTTCTTTTTCTAGTGTCATCAAAGTTAGGCCAATAGTTTTTTAGCACAATCATTTAGTGCTTTTAGAATATGATCATATTGGATGCCCCAAAGAGAGAATGTAAATAAGATAAATAAAAAGAAGCAGAGCGACGATGGAAAAAATTTGCACGACCCCATAAAATAACATTATTGTGAAAGCATGATAAAAGTTCAGCACAATATACTTATGAACTACGATAACAAAAAGGCAAAGATAATCATAATAAGAGAACCACTCAATGTAAGAAACAATGGGCACTTCTTCATCAAACCAACCGCTTATCTCCTCTTCTTAGCTGATTTTGTGTCATCCAGGTGGTAGCATGTTTACTCCTCTAGTAGAGGCATGATTTGACAAAAGATTGGAATTAGTGTTTGAGGGATTTGAGGAATCTTCAAATGCCATCAAGCCTTGATCAATCAAATTTTGCACCCTTTTCTTGAAGCTCACACAGTTCTCAATACTATGACCATTGGCATCATTGTTGTATACACAAACTTCATTAGGCTTATACTAATGAGGAATGACAATTGAAGCGGTGTGAGTGTCATCCGAGTTATCCGACCAATGATTACCGGATGCTCGAAGAGATTACAAAGAGGTATGGGAAGTGATGGCAATATATCGTTGAATTACCCCTATTGGGATTCCTTAGAGAGTTTTGATTTGATGGTCTTAGTTGGTTTATAAATTGTTATGGGTTCGATAGTGTGTTTGAGGCTAGCGTTAGGGTAGGGTAAGTGTTTGGATAGTTGGGTCAAGGTTGTGCGGCATTTGGTATTATAAAAAGGTTAGTGTTTGTCTTGTCGGTCCGGCTACGTTGGTAGATTGACATTTATGGGAATTATGAACGACACGGATAGGTTAGGCATGATGTTTTGAGCGATAAACCAACTTTTATTCTTTCAAGAGTTGTTCCATTACCCCCTAGGAATGAAAGAAGATCCTCCGATTTGATGTTCCTTTTGGTCTTTTCTCTAGCTAAAGTTGCTCCTCTTATGTCCGGATTCTAAAGGATCGGTTATCTTTCATGACTTAATAGCTTGTTCTATTCGATCCGCAACGGACACTATCTCCACAAAGTTCTTTGATCCATTACTCAGCAAATAGTCATAATATGGGGCCCTAAAGGTATTGACAAAGAGAGTAACCAATTCTCGCTAAAAAAAAGATGGGCGGATGCGAGAAGTTGTTTCTCACTATCGTCGAGCATACTTTGTAACGGACTCCCTCGAGCCTTTTTCCATAGACTATAAGCTAGATCCGTCGAGTGTTATCTTCATATTAAATTTATATTGCCTTATGAATACATCCATCAAATCCTTTCATTTTTTTATCTTGGTTTAGTCCGAGTCAATAAACCGACTCGGAGCGGACATACCTAGACTATTGGGAAAGAAATGGATCAATAAATTTTCTTCATATGCTACCTCGACCATCTTGTTTAGATAGATCCTTAAATGGGTCCTAGAACATTGATTCCTAGTGTACTTGGTAAGTTCGAGCACTTTAAACTTTTGAGGAATCACTACATTCGGTATTAGACATTTATCTACACTAAGAAGAGGATCATACACATCCGCACCTTTAATAGTTCTCAAGCATTCCTCAATGTTAGTGAGCTTCTCGGTTTTGAGTTTTGAAGCTATCTTTTCCTTGGCCAACCCTTCGAGTGACGAAATCGGTAGTTGCTCGTTATCGATGCTTGGATAGTTTGAGGCAACATAGGACTAGGGCTTGAAGGTCTTAGAGCAAATTTATTTGTGCCCCCCGGTATGGAATAGTTAGCATGATTAGTAGTACCGATGGGCTCCAAATAAGGCATACCAAGAGGTGGTACTGGAGTAACAGTTTGAGTGATTGGCAATGACATGCTCGGTGAACACTTTCGAGAAGACTCGATGACTATTAAATTTCTCTTTGGATGATAATCTTTAAAGATATGCGATTTTGCTAACTTTGTTCCAATAGAGCGAGTAAGCCTAACAACCTCTTCCTTTAGCATCTCTACTTCCTTTTGGTGATTTTGCTCAAGTAGAGCCCTCTCTTCGTTTTCCATCTTTTTTCTTGCTCTAGTATGGTGAATGCGCACGGGAAGTGTATTTTTGACGAGTCAACCTATGTTCCTACGAAGAAAAAAGATAACAAATACAAGATGTTGACAATATATTAAAAATAAAATGACACTCGGGATCGAATATGGAATAACCTTCATATGGGGGTGATAAGAGGATCAAATCGTTGATTTTTTGACATTATCCCAAATTGGTTTAAAGATGAAATTGGGTTTCATCGGCAACCTTTGACATAGTCCGATCAAGCTTCAAAACTTCTTTGGTATTCAAACATTGCAGAAACTAAATTTAAATCCTCTTATCACCCCTCCCGAAACATTGTGACCTAATTGTTTGGTCAAGATTTTGATACATCTAACTTGCCTAGTGACATTTACCGGGTAAGATCCTAGGGTTTGGTTCTAAGTCATTACATGAACGGGATAGGATTTATCTAGGCCTTAAAAAGGTCCATTCAAGCCCGACGAATCATAATAGAATCGTTGAGGCCGCTAAAGGTGATGATTGATAAGCGTGAAAAATCATTGATTACCTACCGCTCATTAGTGACTAGTAAGAAGAGTTGAGATTTTATAAGTGTTACCCGTGGTAAAACCCGTCGAGGCACCATTACTACCTCCCCGATTCTTGAGGCAAGTGTGTGATAAAAAGTAACGAGTGAATGTAGTGTATGCATAGGCATTATTCCATATTCAATCCCAAAAAAAAGAATAAAAATAAAACCAAATAAAGTTATAAAATGGAATAAAACAAAACAAAAATACAAGATAAACAATGGTAGAAGGCATGAATTCAAACAAAGCAAGCAAATTACAAAGATCAACATATAGGCACAAGAATTCATCACGTCATTAGAAATCAAAAATTCAAAATTTCATGCAAAGACTAACCCTAAGTATCTCTCCAGTGGAGTCGCTATTTTGTTGCGGGGCAATGTCGGGGCGAGGGTGACAAATTTGGGCAAAAATAGGGAAAATGGGCAAAAATAATTAGAGTTGTCACCTAGTATTATGGTTACTAAGAAATCCTATGACTGGTCTATTCGGAGTTCTAGTTAAGGAGTTTATTACATATACGAAAGATTAAAGATCACCCCTGCCCCATCCCGCCTAAAGCAAGTCGCATTGCACACAAAACTAACTTGATTTTTAATTTTTAATGATGAAAGACTATACCTATTTTTTTAATATTTACCCACTAGTTGAGTGATTTGGGACTTGGTCGGTTAGAGACCTTATCCTCACTCTGTAATAGATGGCTAAAAAATGATGAATGCAAGGATGTGCTATTAATGCAACTTAGACAGTGCGCATGAGAACAAAACTTAAAAATAATAGGCAAATAGGCAAACAAACAAAACAGGTAGATTGGCAAAATCGACAAATCGACAAATAGACAAATAGAGGAAAATTGGCAAAAATAGACAAACAAGCAAACGATGGCAAAATCGATAAATTAGCAAAATTGGCAAAATAGGCAAATAGGCAAAATAGACAAAAATCGACGAGATAGTCAATTAGGCAAAATAGACGAGCATGCATGAGAACAAAACTTAAAAATAATAAGCAAATAGGAAAATAGACAAAATAGGTAGATTGGCTAAATCGATGAATAGGCAAATAGAAGAAATTGGCAAAAATAAACAAATATGCAAACGATGGCAAAATCGATAAATTAGCAAAATTGACAAAATAGGTAAATAGGAAAAATAGATAAAGATCAACGAGATAGTCAATTAGGCAAAAATTGACAAATAGCCAAAATTAGCAAATAGGCAAAAATCGAAAAATAGGCAAAAATCGACAAATACGTAAAATAGGCAAAATCGACAAATTGAAAAATAGGTAAAATCGACAATCATGCAGATGGAAAAAATTGACAAATAGGCGGATAGGCAATTAGACAAAATAGACAAAATCGACAAATTGGTAAAAATCAACAAGTCGACAAGAATCGACAATTAGGCAAAAATCGACAAATTGGCAAAACCGCAAAAATCGGCAAGTTGGCAAAAATTGATAAGTTGGCAAAAACGATCCTAACAAGATTCGAATTAACATGATTCTAAAGTCATGTTGTAAGCGAATTAACAACAACTTCAGAATTAATCATTATTTGACACGAATAGCCCAAATGACAAAATTTGAACTAGTACAATCCAAAATGTTATGTTTTTAGCAATAAGAAATATTTACATAATAAGTCCATCAACCAAATCATACAAACACAACAATAATATAATTAGTTAATAGGCATGTCACCACGATTTAATTAATTTACAAACAAATCAAAATTAATTAATTTATAGGCACTAACCCGAAAAATTAAATTCAATACATATGTCAACAAAATAAAAATAAAAGATAAAAGATAAAAAAATGAATTATTGTAAAAATGTGGTATGAATTTGATCATTGAATTTAAGGTCGGTTTGACACTTTCAATCCCGATGGAGATCGATTATTCGACCAATCGGGGAGGAATGACGATTGTCTATTATAGATCCGGACCTCGTGTGACGTGAAATGATGATTAACGATTGTATTTAGGTTGGTCAATTGGCGGTGATCGTTGTCGAAGTCTAGTGTTGTTGCTTGGACGCGTGAGAGGGTGATTGGTCAGTCGGGTCGGCAAGCGTGTGGAGGGTCGTTGTGCGCCGGTAGGCATTAGCATTGGCATTGGGCGGCGAGCACCGACACCGGCGTTGGTTGGTAGCGCCGACACGCTCGTTGGAGGCCGCTAGCAGGGGGCATGTGCACGGATGAGGGAGGTCGCTCCGTGGTCGAGGCATGCTAGTGTTGTATGGGGTGAGGTAGGCTGCGAGAGGCTACTTGCATGGCCGGTGCTTGCACTGGGTTGGGAGCGTGGGCCGGTGGTGTGATGTTCGTGGCTGGAGGGGCTGTGTGTGAGAGAGGAGGAGGTAATAGACGGGTGTTGGCTGGTGTGTGTAGAGAGGGGCGATGGTATGGTTGCTTTTGGAGGGGGTGAACAATAGATGTCCTTTTTGCAAGAAGAGAGGCTTTTATATTGGGCTTTTAGGGTTTTTGGCTAAATTTCAATTTGATCTTTCATTTCGCAAACCCATTTTATTTTGATCATTTTCTCCTCTTTGTTTTAATTGCATCTCCCAATTGGTTTTTTTTAATCCCTTTTCTTTTTCTTTTTTCTTTTATATATATATACATATATATATATATATATATATATATATATATATATATATATATATTTAAAAAAATTGAGTGCTAACACCCAAATTGAAAAACCCTTCTTCCCTAAATGTACTTCCTCCCAAAGTTTTGTACGTGCTCTCTTTGTCTCTATTACAAGTTTAAATGCACACAAAATAGCAAAAACATTGATAGATTTTCTACCTTTTCAAATTCAAGCCTTCTTAAGTAGATAATTTATTATTTATCTATCTACCAATGCATTTGGTTTTTTTTTTTTTTTGGATGCAACTTAGTTTCCTAACCGGTAGTCCACAAAGCAGAAAGAAAATCACTTTAAATAGAGATTTCAAGAACTTTAATAGAATCAACCATTTGTAGAAAAAATAAAATAAAATGGTAAAAATTGAATTACCAAACATCGAAATCGAATCGAAAAATCGAATAACCTTTCGATTTGGTTTCGATTATTTTTAAAAAAAATTCGATTAATCGAAAACCGTCCAAAATATTTTGAAACTAAACCGAATAACCAAATGAACACCCCTACAATAAATTACATATAACATTTACATATGTGATTTTCTTCTCTCTCTCTCTCTCTCTAGTTAGTTATTCCACATGGAAGTTAAGGTATACACACTTTTTAGGTAAAATAAGCATGATTTGTAAGATTGTTGTTTATTTAAAAATGAAACTCAATTGTAAAATGAAAGATTTAATATGTGATACTCTCAAGTTGCTAAGTCATTCTATCAAATCCGGAGGGGTAAGGATACTTTTTTATATTCAAAATTGATAGTTAGGTAAAAAAAAATTTGAAAATTATTTATTTCAAAATAATTTTAAATGATTAAATTGAATTGATCTTCTTTGTATTATTTATTTATTTTGTTAGTTGTTGTAATTTCTATATATGTATTCATAAGTTTAAATATTACGTATTAATTAGTTTTTTAAAGGGTTTACCCTACATTTGGTTTGTGCTCTTTAATTTATTTATTTATTTTGTTGAGACCCTCTTCTCTTTTTCAGCTTTATTGAAACCCTCTCGCTCTTAGAAATTTATTGATTCGGACTCTTTATTAACTCGCTCATCCGATATGGCATATTAAAATTAACGAGAACCAATCACGAATTAACACATGGCATAGTGGGTCCCAAGTCTCATAATTTTCTACCAAAAAAATTAGAAAGATTTTTATTATTAAACTCATATTTAGTATTTAAAAAAAAAAAATGAAAGCTGCCCTCGAGCCCATTATCCCAACCTAACTCATTCTGTTTCATTATTAAGCCTTATTTCTTACGTCAAACTCATTCTCCCGTTCTCTTTAGCTAGCAAATTATAATTCCTAAATCTAAAAATTCCTAAATCCCTATATTACAAAAATCCCATTAACCTTAATCCAAATCATGCTTTTTCTCTACCCATTCTTTCTATTGGAAGAAAATCTAAACCCCTAAAATCCCAAAATTACAAAATCTGAAAATTTCTAATTTCAATATTGTTCATGTTTTTCATCATCTTCTCGCATTCTAATAAGACATGACCAAGTTGTCCACATCCTCTTCCTTGTCCAAACATTCAGAATTTCGGTCATAATTGACTCTTCTTGCCATCCTCACAAGAGAAATAGCACCACCATAGAATTTATCGGAAGGACCGAGGGTCATTTGACCCATTTGAAAATAACCCAAACCAATACAATTATGACAATCAAATTGACTCGACATGCCAATAACGTCATCGAATATTGTCAAAGAATCAACCAATTCCAAAGCTCGGAACATAGTGTAGACATATTTAGATTCTTTGCAGGAAAATAAAAAAATAAAGTAGAATAAATAAACACAAGCACAATCAATATGTGAATTTTTAGGTGGAAACCTTGATATAGGAGGGAAAAACTAAGAGATTGTGTCCATTCAAACTCTTCCACTATATCAAATATGAGGTACTCGGTGCTTCACTAGCTCGGCTAGAAGATACACATAAAAAAATCAAAGTCATTATCATAAAAATGGATTTCAATAATAACAATAAAGAAAAGATTTAGATCTCACCAAATAGATTTTGGAAAAAAAAATATCTATCTAAAAGTGAAAGCTTCTCAATAACCAACATCGTTCAAGTTTAAAAGCTCAGCTCAAAATTTTATCTCAATCAGATTTGAAACACAATTAGATTAAGACAATAAAGATGAAGCCCCGATGATAAAGATTTGTCTTCAATATCTATGTGTTTCTCATTAACTTGAAATTTATTTATTGATTTTCATAACTTATTTACTATTTTGTTTTTCTTTTTTTTAATGCATTATATAAAACAAATTATAAATTAGTTAAAAAAATTATAAAAAAAAAAACTAAAACTAGATTATGTATGACACTTACCCTTGGTAATTGGTATTTGTTTAGTGGCCCTTCCAACTGCCTATGAAAGCAACATAAATTAGGCTTTGCAAAAATCTTTGCTTTCTACGTTTTTCCAACTCACACTTCTCTTTCTTTACAGTGTATTTGCACTCAACTGAAAAAGGGAAAAAAAAAAAAAAAAAAAATCAAATTCGTGTCATGAAATAATTATACATATTTTTTCAATGTATTATATTTAGGGCAAATGACCTAACTATGAGTCGGTAATGCGACATGTTTCTAGTGGATATAATTGATATAACAAATATTTAATTTTCTTAATATACACATAGTTCTTTGAAAAATGTCACGATATTAAATATATAAATATATTATTAAATATATAAACCTATTTAAATTGAAAAAAAAATTAACTTGAAAAAAAAATATTTTTCTAAACTCAAAAACCAAACCAAAACAAAGTCGTTTTGGAGGGACAAAAAGAAATTCAGAGATTTTGCAATAATATTCAATTTGGTATGAGACTTTAAAGTAATTATGTGAGTTTTTCCTTACATATGAAATAACGTGTCACCAACAAGTCAATTATATTTGTACTATTTTTTTATTTCAATGGATGAACCTAAAATTTATTTAATATGTTCCATGCATGTTAAATTTATTTATTTATTTCAAAAAATAAATTCAATAATTTTTTTTAGTTATATTGACTTTATTCCCCAAACTTTAAAATTATGCGATTCAGTCCCTACCTGCAAGTCAGTACGTTTGCATTCATTTTATCTCAGTGCATTAACCTCAAATTTATTTAATAAAATTTCTGAATATTCTTCATTTTTTTTTTTTTTAATATTCTTCATTTTAGACTATATATACTCTGCATATATACAATGTAGTCTTTATGTATAAAATAGTACCAATCGGTAAACAAATAGACGAGGGAGAAGACGTGATTTGTCCTCAAACAATATTTAAATCATTTATGTGACTGTTTATTTCAACAATGAAGCTTAATTAAAAGAATTTTTAAGATTCTTTTTGAGAATGCATTTTAGGCTTTAATGGTTATTAATTTAACAACAAGAATATAGAAAAACTAAATAATAATAATAATGCTTCTGCCATTATATTTTATTACAATCATCGGTGTCGTGCAATGCAATTGAAATAATTAAGGATGTGATTTTAATGTATTATATTCAAGGCAAAGGGCTGACACAGATTTAATGCATGTAGTTTAACAAATATATAATTTTCATAAATACACAAAATAATTTATCGTGGAGACGGTCATTACAATTTTAGTAGCTCTATTTTTAATCCGACAAAATAGCCAATACAAGCATTTATGTTGAGTAGAGTTGGTCAATTGCTTTGACTTGATAATTCGAAGAATCAAAATCAGAAAAATAAAAAATCAAGAGTTAAGTTGAATTTGACTAAAAGTTCAGGAGTTTTTTTGATTAATTAGTGATTTTTATTCTTTTGTCCTAGCCTAGATCAAATATATATGTATATTAAAAAGGATGGTTGTTTTTAATAAATGGGTTTTGAATTAGAGAAATGCCAGAACTTTTAATGGAGAAGAATCTTACAACCACTGCTGTAGTTGTTCGGATTGTTCAATTGATTCAGTTGAGATTGGGCAATTCTAATTCTGTACAGGAGGCTAGAAATAATCCTAAATTTCTGATGTATGTAGAAGATGGAATTTTTATTTGCTTCGTCTTCTAGTTATTGTTTATTTCAACATTGTTTAGTCTTCAAGTTCAATATCTCTTTTTTATTGGTTCCTAGATCACTTTGTGCAGGTTTAACCTTCTGCTTGGTTGTTTCTTGATGAAATATAAATTTTTCATTCTATATATATATATATATATATATAAGAAAGTAAATAATGTGAATTTGATTGCTATTTCTTTCCACTTTACTCCGACTAAACTCCATTCTGATAGCGCTTTAGAAATTTGTCTTGTCTCTGCATTTTAGCTTAGGAGAAACATGATTTTTAGAATGAAGCACTGAAGTAATTCAGAAAATGACGATGTCAGCTTATTATTTCTTTATCTGTTTCTTTGCATTGTCACAATCTTCTCTTTTTTAAGTTTTTTTTTTTAAAAAAAAAAAATGTAAAAGTCATTAAATAACAACACTGTCCTGAAAATTCTAAATAATAAGATATGTATTATTGTTTTATAATTTCATATATTTAAGACGCAAATTTAATATGCTTAGATTTTAATCAACAAGAAAGAAAAAAGTCTGTGACTCTTGCTAATCTAATAATAACAAAAACAAACACATTTCCACACCTAAGGTTGTAATATCCAACGATTAATTATATGTACATACAAATGTTAAAATGAATAGTAGAAAGGCAGCAGATGAATTTGACTCTCCACCTCTATGTGCTTGAACTTTGGCCAAGAAAATGATTACTGATCGATGAGGACAACCTGTTTCTTTGAAATTTGCTTAGCTAGCATTTGATAATTGAAAAGGAAATATAGCAGTGTTATTGCTCTTGAGATGCCAGTCATGCATCCCACTCCAGATTAAAAAAGTTAAGACAATTATTGTAAGTCAAAACTATATATGTTAGTATGGCTAAAAAAAAAAAAAAAAAAACCCTGATTGTCTCAGCCTTGCTTTAACCACTCTGCTTCTGGTGCCGATGGAGATCTCAGCCAGCGGGGCAACTCAAACTGATCATGCTAAGTCGTAGCTGCAGCTTTTGTTGAATAGTTAATTAATACTAACTCTCTTAATTTCTCTAATTTACCAGTCGCAAATACATGAAGCTTGCTTCTTCCTGGAGGGCTGTGTTCTTTGTTGTTCATGTGGGCATGAAGATTTAGACATGAAATTCAAGCAACATGGTGCTCGTAAAAGTGATAAAGATTTGTCTCCAATATCCACGTACGTGTTTCCCATTAACTTGTTAGCCTTTCTTTTTTGTTTTCTTTAATGATCCATTGATAATACATTTCATCCTCATACAAACAAAATCCCCACATCACAGCCTTACTCATAAAAAATCAACCAGTTACTATAAAGTACCAAAACCTTCTACTTACCTAAGAACAAAAGGGTTACTGGAAGGAACACTATCAATTAATCAATTAATACGTACATTTCACAGATTCTTTCCTTCTCTTGTCTTGAACTGCTAGTGCCATATTTATTCCAAGCTATATTCTCCATACAGATTGTACTGCAAACATGCGACATCAAGTACAACACTCAGTAGAGATTGCACTGCAAACATGCGACATCAAGTACAACACTCAGTAATTGAATTTAGAACACAATTAAGATTCCGTAAGTAAGAAGGATTTTTGTAGATTAAGTAAAAAATAAATAAAAATGATGCAAGTGTTAAAAGAGATACATGAACAATGTCCTTTCCTTGCTCTCATCAGATGGATAGAAATATCAAAATTTATCCAGTCTCCCACCGTCCAATCACACGCATGGTAGATGATAAGATCAATATATATTTGTTGTGTTAATGTGTCACAATTATTGCTGGCCAGAATACGAATGTGAGAGTATATACTCAAACAATCTTAATTCAAGTCTACCGATGCAACCTGAATTTAGCAATATTCCCACTCAAAAATAGGCAAATGCTGAAGGAATCGCATCACTAATTATACAAGTTGTAGAGTACTCACAAGTCCATATTAATTGTATCAATCATCTCTATGAGATCAGCACACCCCATCTTAGACCTTACCTTCAATTATTGATTCCCACCCTACTCTTCTTTTTCTATCTTTTTGCCCTCTTAAACGCATTCATCCCAAGCCACCCATTACCTTCCTTTACCCTAAAATATAAAGTTCCACTTCCACTTTGTATCCTTTTTCCTTTCAATTAAGCTACTTTACCTTTATAATTAAGAGTGCATTAACCCTTTCTCTCTCTCTCTCTCTCTCTCTCTCGGTAGACTAGAGATGTATTATATCGTTTTCATTTTCTTAATCCAGCCAGAGATGTATATCTTGACGTATGTAGTTGGAAATTCAGGAATGATTATCTTCTTCGAGCTAAATCTTTAGAAAATGGTAAAACAAAACTGAATTTGTAAATTATGCATTCACTTATAAATCACGTACGTGCTCAATCAATTTCTTAATCATGCATTGTTGTAAATTAATCAATTAAGATTAAAATGTTAATCTAATAAAATTGTAACAGCAAGTGCTGTTGGACTCGTACAAAAGTAATGCATTATAAGTTACTCGTTATAGAAAAAGGAGCAAGAAATTGAATAAAGCTCAACTTCATAACTTTATACTAGTTCAAAATTTGTAAGAGCACTATAAACATTACCCAAAATGGCAAAAGTAGCCAACTCAGTTTCATGAAACAAACATTCTAGCTGGTATGAAGTCACTGTCAATCAATAAAGCAAAAGATCAAATCCTCATGTGATGGCCGGTGTCAAACTTAAAGGTACTGCAGTTTGAGAAAGAGTAAATTACTTTTTAGTTCCTGGTTTTTAAAATATTTATAACTTATTCCTTTATATTTGAAAATACACAGCTTTGTCCCTTGACTCTAGTTGGCCACTGTAATGTTTTTCACAATCAATTGGAAATTGCTTTTTATATAAGAACTTAAATTTTAAGCTTAGCAATAAACTAACGAATTTTCTAATAAGCACATAGTCAACAAGAGTTAAGGGATCAAATCATATATTTTCAAATATAAAGGACTGCATCATAATTTTATTCATAAATAAGGGACTACATAAGCGCAACACATCCCTATAAAAGCAGCACACCTCTCTCACAGCAAAACACTCCCACAGCTTCCTACATTAAGTCAATAGAGCTACCTTCAGCTTCTCCCATTAACAGATCAACTGCCAAAACCTCGTATCTACCACCATTATTTCTTCCCATCGAAGCCGAGCCACCACCATCATCCCTCTATTTCTTCCCGCCGAAGCCGAACCATCACCATTATCTTTTCCCTTTTGTCCTCTAATGCAGTCACCGTGAACAATAGGAACGGTAGCAGCACCGTCTCCCTTTCTTTTTCCATCCAGCAAGCCGCTTCATCATCATACACTCCCACAGTCGAGTAGTCTCCACTGTAAGTAAAAATTGCTAGAAATGGGTCACTGTAAATAAATAAAATTTGAATGCTTAAATATTAGTAACTAACAGTTTTATCTAAAGCAAATGAAGCAATCTGTGAAATGAATTTTCACGTTGGATGTTGTGTACCCTATTGCAAATCAGTTGCTTCTTCTATAGTCGTTGCTACAAAAACTAAGAGAGCAGCATCCTTTCCATTTATCCTACCAACTTTTTCAGGGTAATTGAGACCACTCTCAAATTTTAATGGAAGAATTTGTAATTATTCTACCGAAATGAAGCTAATATAAATTGACCGAAATGGTAAATTGATGCATTATGGAAATTGACCAGGAAGGTAAAATTAATGCATTTTAGAAAATTTCTATTTAGTTTCTTCTCTGTTTCGAGCTCATATGAATTGTGAAAGTTTCTAAAATTCGACTTTTATTTTGGGACCATATTTTCCTTTAGTTCTCTGCTAACTGCAGGTGGCAGCAAGTGAAGCTGTCATGCGTGGAATCTGTAGTTACATGTGCATATATGCTACCTTAATTTGCAAGTATTTACTATTGATTCTTTCAAGTTATTTTTTTTGGCAGGCTAGTTCAGATATGGGAGCAATCTTACTACGTACCTTACCTTCTTGATCCTGTCATTAGTTTTAGGTACCATCAGTGCACAACCATATGTCAAAAATCCTATAAAATTACATTTGTTGTACCCTAACCATCCCAACGTAACCCAAAACTCCTCAGACAAAAATATGGTCCATTCAGCGACACCTTAATTTTAACATGTTTTAGGGTTAAAACCCATAAAATTATTTGATCCATCAATGGTGATCTGAATGCCTGTTAGGTGAAGGTTTCCTATGATAGGTAAGTGTGATGAATGAAGTAATGCTAAACAGTAAGTTCCGACATCATCCACTTGGATCATGATGCTATCTGATCGTATGTTAAGGACAAGTCCTTCTGTGAAATAAAATGAGATAGCGAGTATCTCCAAACCTTTTCTAGCAGAAGGGTAGATTATTCATTTTACTAGGTGAAGGTTTGGAGATAAATGCTATCTCATTTTACTCCTCAGATGGACCTGTCCTTACCATCCGATCAGATAGCGTCATAATTCCAGTGAATGATCTTGGAACTTATTGTTTAGCATTCTTTCCGTCATCATCAAGTTAACTATCATAGGAAACTTTCACCTAGCAGGCATTCAGATCACCATTGATGGGTTAAATAATTTTATGGGTTTTGGCCCTAAAACATGCTAAATTAAGGTGTTACTGAATGGAGCTTTGATGGAAAAAGGGAGTGCCTTAGAATTAGAATGCTTTTTTACATTTGATTGTTTTTTATTTTCTTGTTTGTAACTATGTTTCTACTGTTATAAAAAGAGAATTCTAATATATTTATTTCCTGTTGAATGACAATTAAGTTATGGATGTAAAATTGGTAAAATATAATTTGTTTTTATCTGCTGTTGATATAATATTTAAGTTCTATTTATGTTCACATCATATGCGTAATCTCCCACCATATTAATTATCTTTATAGTCTTGGAATTTTATTAACTCAGCCCCTCTAATCACCAAAACTACATTCTAGTGTCTGTTTTTAAATCTTTCTTCGAATTGGATGAAAGGACACTCAATAATTTTGTGATTGAGATAATTCAAATAGAAACAAAAAATTACATGTTGAGCATTCAAATAAATAAAATAAAAAGGTTGGACACTCAGTAATGAAAGTCTTAGGCATGAGTACAAGGCAGCTCCTGCTTCTGATATACTGCGATTATCCCCTTGTCATATAGCAGTAAAATGATTTGGCGAATGCAGATCCTTCAAACTCCAACAAATGAAAGCAGGCAACTTCTTTCTCTTTTCTTAAAGGTTTCATTCATTAACAGAATAGATTGTGACATTTGATGCATCAGAGATTAGCAAACTCGCATTACATCCCAAAAATGCAGAGGTCATCGAACGGTATCGCTATGCTTTCCCACCCTCCACGGTCCTTCGTAAGAAGCAAAGCATAAATGCCAGTTCGAAAACACATAAAAACAGTATATCGCATGCCAAGTAGCCTCTTTTGCTTGCATTATCTTCTCTAAAAGCAAGGTTCCATCCAAAGCCATGACTGCATCAACTCCAAAGCTGAGCCCTGTAGATATTCAAAAAGGAGAGGAGGAACTGAAGCCAAAGAGACAGAATGAGTAACTTTTAGAACATAAGAAAAGGGCTTAGTTATACTCGCTCCTGCAAGAGTGGGATCCTTGGATGAGAACTATGGAGACAGTGTTACTCTTCAACAATTTTGCTTCGGATCGATATTCTAAGGCATCAAAATTACATTTTTCATGGTGGCAAGCTTGCAACTTCAAAGTTTTATTTTACTATTGCACCAGACAACAGCTTTCGTATATTCAGATATGAATGCTTTTCTCCCACAATAGTATTGAAAATCAACAAATCAGCTCCACTTCCAAAATGCTCAGGGGATAAGAGTTTTAAGTTTTCCTTTTGTAGGAGGAACATGAACTCGTCATCAACAAAGTTTGAATTATTTGTAGGAAAAAAAAAAAAAAAAAAAAAAAAACCTTATGTTACATGCATCAAAACTTTAACATTAACTAGAGGGGACAAATGCATCTCAAAGCAATAGCTATAAATTAATATCTTATCTCAACTTCATTGCTTCAAGAAAATAACCATATACGATTTTGTAAAAATCTATGTATCATCGACAAATTGTAGCAGTGGAAAAGGGAATACCTGTCTTAAATTCCTCTGTTGCGTGTCGGAAGTAAATCTTGAATTTTGAATTACAGTTGTGCCTCTCCTTCATGCTCCATAGTAACAACATGGTCTCAGATGTAATCCCATCAATCTTTTCCAGTATATGATGCTATTACTTCAAGCAAACTAACTAGTAAACCTTACTACAGAGCATCGTGATGACATTTAAGATTTTAGGTTAGCCCAAATTCAACAGCTCTATATCCCTTTCAAGAAGAGAGTTTAAATTTCAAACAGAATATGGAAAGCAGGCATGATAAAGCTCATATTTGGACTCAACACCAAGGGACGCATCCATGACTTGTATTGTTGACCATTTTCTGTTAAGCATGTAGCAAGAGCTCTCCTATGCCGGAGAACTCAATTTTTAAGCTAATTGGTCAAGCAATCGTACACACGGTAAGGCATCCTCATCTTATCTTTACTTTTTTGCATTTGTTGAGGTTGAATCACTAAAACAATTTCTCCATTGGGTTTCTTAGATGTTCTTGTTTTCTTTAACACACGCAATCACGTGTTCTCTACTTCTTTATAGACGCTCCCATTATCAGTAGACATCAATGAAACTACACATTGGAGGCATTTATTTACGTTCGCATGCAGATGATGAAACATATCATACCATACCATTTCAGATTTCTGCACATGCTCCTCAGAAATGATAACAAAGAGCAATCTCCAAAGCAACTTCTTCAACTTTAAGAAATTTTATTAATCTTGTGTTTTTTTAATTATTTGTTAAGTAAAAATGTATGTTACCTTAACTAACAGACTGATTTTCGTTTATTAACTTCGATTAGTGGATGCGCCAAGGCAATGCAATAGTGGGCCATGGTTTTACAGTTAAAGAACGTCAGACTCGGTTTCTTCTTTGGCACAGCATTAGCTCAGCTCAGCTCAGCTCATCATGGAGGATTTGAAAGACTTCTCCATGGCAGGCCTCTTCGCACCCCTTCTCCAAAAACTTAAACAGCATTCCACTCAACAGGGATATATAGTGCGATATGAATGGATGATTTGAGTAATGACAATGGCACTCAACTCAACAGTGCTTGTGCTTGTGGAGTGCTGAAATGCAGTGGCAAGAGAATCAAATAATTTACATATATAGAACTTTCATAAAAATGGATTTAGAAAAACTTGAATAAGATTTAGACAAGGAGAAAGTGGTACGATTTGCCACAGCTACCCTAACTTAGGAGAATTATACTATCTGCAAATGTTACTAAATATTTTTAATTAGGATAAAACAAACCGTAAACAATATTGTTCATCCAACTTTGAAATCTTTGTGCAATGCTTTGGGTGGGTTTATTAGGTGATGATAATAACTGACAAGAACCACCAGATAAAACTACAATAATGTTTCTATGATTCCAAATGTTGCAGAGGCATATACTACAACTCAAGGAACTACATGATTATATATACCTTCTGTACTCAATGAACCAAGTCATCATTGCAAAGCAAAAGGCCAGACTACCTATGCCACTCCAGGTGTGAATGGTTACAGTTTATGCAAGACAAGATAACCAAAAGCTGGAAAGCCTTAGAGAACATATAAGACTGGAACGCCTGAAAATGTCAGGAATGCAGTAAAAGAAACTGTTTTACTCAAGTTGCACCTCTCTCCTTGGGGATCAATTTGCAAATAGGTGTAAGGCTCTGTTGGTTCCTCCCTGCATAACCACACACCTTGTCACATACTCTTATTACTAACTAATACTATAGAAGAAAAAAATGCATTGTCAGTGTTTCTTATAAAAATAATCAATCAAGCGCTCAAGTGGGCAATCGGGATAAGTTATGGAATGTAGATGACAGTATCAACAAAGATACTCCAACTACCCGGGTTTAGAGCGCATGCATTGCCAAAAGAGCTTGACAGGTCCTGGAACTGTCTTAAATGGGTTTCCCTCAAAACAAGCCTACACAACCAGGACAATGTAATAATAATAATATATTCAGAACATATAATGAAAAGGCAACCAGAAAATTTTTTTTCACACTAATTAATAATCAGATCAAGGAGTGTGCTCCAACTCCCACGACGTAGTACATCAGCATTGCAAAATATCATGTTCATGCCTGATGAAAGAGTAAAATGGTTCAAATCTTCTTTTTTATTGGAAGTGCCAGCATCCCTAGAGAAAATAGCTTACCAAAGTGTTTCCATATACAGAAACTGGTACAAGTTCACCATAATCCTCCAGGAGTCAGTATCAATAAAACATAATTTTATTCAATTAATGAAAAGGCAGACCTATCCAGAATTTTATGATGCAGTTTACTTCTGATTTATGATATCATTTTCAGAACCAGTTTAAAAATGAATGATGGGCATTTAAAACTGATATTGATCTTGAATCTTGGAGGAAAAGGTTTTTTGACAAGTCATTCTTGAAGTTGAATTCAGAGGATGGTTCATTCAATTGCTTCAGATAGATGGTTGTCTAGGCATTCGATGGCAATCTTTAGCAGGCCAATTTCAATTATGTTTACTGATTGTGATCCACGTCATAAAATTCAAAAACAGATCCCAAGAACTCTCCAGATAACCTAAAGCTAAGACTCATTATCCTAAGTCATTAGTCTGTTTACCTTTATTCTGTTATAGGTTACTTGTTTGTTTATTTGTCTTTCTTTTTCAGCACATTAAGTTTGCAAGCAGCAGTGCTCATTTTGATTATCAGCAAAAGAGTATGTGATAATGACTTGTCAATTGACAGAAAATAACAGGAAACTAGTACATTATAATCTTAATCTTAAAATTGTTAATTTCCAACAACTATATTTGCTCGTTTCAAATTTTCCAAGGATAATTAAAGAGAAAATAATAAGAGTCTGACAAATTTAAATAAATAATTAAACCTTTAAACCAAAAACTCATCATTGCGAAAAAAAAAAAAAAAAAAACCCGACAAGGACCTGGATAACATCCTCAGCTCGATCGTTGCATCGATGTGCCTTTGGTTGGCGAGTGTCTCCTTCTGGCATCCCCCATGGACTCTCCCTTCTTGGCACTTCGGTCATTTTCACCCTCCCTTTAAATATTATCTGCAGAGGACCTTTTGAAGAATTATATGAAGAAGATAGTGTTACAAAATATTAGCACCATGATTAGCATAAGCTTCTATATTAGAAGAAATCAAATGAATCAATACTGTAAATTATAATTTAATAAGTAATTTTAACTTGTGTTGTTCCTAAAGATGAAAATTTGGTTTTTTTGGTTCGGTTTTTGGTTAACCTAACCATAAAAAAACATAAACCAAACCCAAACCAAATATGAATTTCGTTTTTCTTTTTAAAAACCAAAATTTCGATTTTTGATGTACACCGAATTTATTTATTTATCGATAAGATCCTATTAAGTTTAATTTACATGTTTTACACTCACTAATTTACATGTCCTATTATCTCACTAATGCTAGGGCCAAATGTAATACCCATATGGCCCATGTAAGTATAGGTAAGTGAGGTGTTTTAATGAGGAATAGTAGGGTAATTTTAAAAAAAAAAAAAAAAAGAAACAAAAGAGAAAGTGGCGGAATGGTTTCTAAATGAAACCAAGAAAAAGAGAGAAGAACGGGAAAGAGAGAAAGAAAAGAGAAGAGAAGGAAGGAAAGGAAGGAGAAGAGTTACCGACGACTACCCATGTAACCCTAGTGAAAATCATTAACCGTAAAGCGACGCTTATTAGAATATTTAGATATATACATATATTAAAAGTAAGTATAATTCTCATTACACCATGAGAAATTAATGCTTGAAATGTGTGATTTATGTTAAATTAATGTTATTGTGCTTGAGATTAATGGTTTAATTATTAAAGAAATCAAATATGCAAAATCGGTGTTTTGAGGACTATATTATGCCCGAATTTTGTGTGATTTATTTGAGGACTTTAGAGTAATTTTCTGGGTAAAACTTAAAGAATAAAAGTTGTTCTTCTATGTGTCTACTAGCTCTCTATAAAATTTTATAATTTTAGGCCTATATATAAAGAGTTATGGCTATTTTAGTATAGGCTAATCGTGAAGCATCACTATCGGAACATTTTTGGGGGAAGAAAATTCCGAGTTTAGGGAGAGGGATTTCTGAAATTTAATGGAAAGAAATGTGTTTAGTTACTTGATTTACTCTAATCAATTAATTAGGACACCTAAACCCCCTAATTAATGAATTAAGTCTAACTCACCCTAAACCTCTCAAATCTGCCACCTTCTCTCTTATGACTCACCAATAACTTTCCACTCACCCAAATTAAATTAAGCCATTTGTACACCTATTTAACTATAAGGAAATGAAGAATATATATATAGAAATGGATTTCATGCATGCTATTTTATTAGTCCAAAATCGTAGCTTACAAATAAGAGAGAAAATAAAAGTGAGAAAGAGTGAAATAGCAAAAGAGGAAAGGAAAAGAAAAGGAAAGAAAAAAGGCAAAGCCAAGAAAATTCTAACCATACCTAAGCTAAATAAGTGGGTTTCTTTGGTTTATTTATGCTTTTACATGCCCATTTTTATGTGTATAAGTTAGGTATTGGTTGAGTTGTTTGTGTATTGTTGAGCTTGATTTGTGTTGGTGGTTGTTTGATGTCTTGGCTTGCTCTACTTATGGATGTTGTGTAGGTGATAAATTGTGATGTTTATAATGCCTAGTGCATGTCCAAGTATGTGAAAATGAGTTGGATTGGACTTTGACTGAAATTTAATTGGACTAAAACATGATTAATGTGGGTTGGAATGAGTGGCCAAACCAGGTGTTATTGAGGAGTAGTTTCGTCCGACTTTGGTATTGCCTATTCAAGGACTTTAGAATGATTTCTAGGTGAACCTCAAAGAATAAAAGTTGTTTATCTATGTCTTAATAACTTCCTATAAAATATTTTCATTATTAGGTTTATATAGAAAAAAGTTTGCCCGTTTTAGTATAGTACTATGTCGAGTGAACTACTGCTTGGACGATTGAATCTTAAACTTCAAAATTATATTATGGATTATGTGTTTGGTATTTAAACCTAATTTTTAGATATGTTATGAATCAATATGTCTAGTTTCTAATTAAAAAGAAGAAAGATAGGATTTAATTATGTTCGGAAATTAGTTCATCACCTACTTGATTAGAGGTTGTCCTATAATAAACCACAAATTGGATAGGAGGGGAAAATGAATTCCTAGGATTTTTACTAAAGAATCCTTTCGGCCTAAGTAAGAAAATGAATAATATTGGACCCATTTTGTGTAATTAAGGGCATAGGACTCGATTACAATTTAATTAGGTATACGTTAATAAGTTGGGATGAAAAAGTAATCTTTGGCAACTTTAAGGACCTATTCGGCTTAAACCCTAAACTATGGAGATTTGGATTCCAATCCTTTAATTCCATAATTAATGGTTTGAGTACACCCTAATAAGTATAAGAGGACATTTAGATAGGAAAAATTGCTAGCTAAATTGAAATATTGACCAAGAACATTAAAAGCCCAATTCAGCCTAAAATGCCCCAATTTGGGTTCGGAGAAAAAAGATGTCACCTTAGTATATTTTAAACTCGATGTATGAACTATATGGAGAAACTAGTTTACGTTGGATATCGAGAATGAAATAATAATGTAGATGGATTGAATATTGAGGACAAAATAACGATGTAAGGTTTGATATTCAATATCCTTGATACCGTAATTGTGGTATCACGTGTATCAATGGGAAAGAAATGGGAATAAAATTAATTAATTGAGAATGGAGTTATATGAATAGGTTTGGTAACCTAATCAAATAAAAAGGGATTAGCGGTCCAGCTATGTGCCTATACTCGTTAGGCGATGGATTCCCATTAGTAGTGACTACAACGAGGGATAATTCCATTATTAGCATTCAATGATTCGGTAATCACCTATAGAGTAGACCGTTAATACCTAGGATAATCAGAATTAAAAATTGATGAGAATGATGGGAAGTAAGAAAAACATTACATATCACGTGCATCACCCCACTTACTAAGCTTCAACTCACCTCGTTATTTGCATGTTATGACAGATAACGATGATCGTAGTACCAATAAGGACCCCGCCGGATCCTCCAATAGGGCTTAAAGGTGACATAAACCTTAGAAGATTTTATTTTGTTTGTAAATTTTAAGGTTGGGGTGTCGAGAAACATTTTGATGGTATTGTAAATAAATTTTATAATTTCTTTCACTCGTATTGTTAATATTATGTAAATTATTTTTTACATATTTCATGATATGATAAATCCTTAACGTATGAGCACATACGTGTCTAAGGTTAATTCAAAGATCGGTCGTGTCGAGCATGATACGCCTCACCTAGTTACTCTTATTTGGGTAATAAAGAGTGAACCGGGGTAGGGGCATTACAACCCACTCCGATGATGGCTCCGGCGACTCGCAATAGTGGAGTAATTCGGATAAGAAGAAAAAAAAAAGGATAAAAAGAGATGGAATAAGGGAGAAGAAAAAAGATTTATCAAGTTTGTTTTGAATGTTTTGGCTAATAATAACCTTAATTAGAGATGAGTTGTGTATAATTTAGTGAATTTCATCTTGAATTAGAAATTTGAATTAGAGAATTAGGATTTGATTAAAATTAAGGTTTATGTTAGTTTAGGAATTTTGGAAAAAATGAGTGAATAGGTAATTTAGGGTTTAATCAAGCTTCAATTTTAATTTATTAGTGTCTTATTATTATTATTTATGGTAAATGTAAATTTATGATAGAGGTAAGAGAGGATTTAGCGGAAGAAGCTACTTAAGGAAAAGATAATTGCAATTTGGGGTGTTCATCTAGATTAAAGATAAGTATAGCACATATTATGAGTCTTTTACTATTATCTATGTATATATTGCTTGTGAGGTGAAAAAAATTAATTGTATGGATAAATGCTTAATTATTATAAGTAATTGCATGTGAGTTAAATTGTTGTAGTATGGGTGTTCTTACCGTAAGCTAAATGAATTGAATTTATATGTTGTCATATGAATTATGGTTATTAAAGAGAATATTAATACGTTGAATAGTATATATGCATATTGATATGATGATCACTTGCATTAAATGAAATTGTGTGATTGATATGTACTGAATGAGAATAATGATATTAATGACTTATGCTAGGACTAACTAAGCTAAACGAGATTATAGTTAGCCTAGTCGCACCTAATATTACCAGCTAGGGAATAGCCAAAGTGCTTCCCTCGTAGTTTACTCTGCGGGGGCCAAAGTTTAAAGTTTACCCTTGCGAGGGCTAAAGTTACCCTTTTAAGGGCTAAGGGAATAGACGGTTTCGCATAAAGTGATTTCAAGTGAATATGTTATTGTTAATTGTTAATAAAAAAAAAAAAGGTTATTGATGGCTTGCTTGGTTGCAAATCATGTATGATAGGTGCTTTGACATAATTATATATATAACGATTTATAATATGTGTTATGCTTATTGAATTTTGAAAACTCACCCCCAAACCTCATATGTTTTATAGATGATATAGAAGATAGATAACGGAAAAAGACGATAGATTTTTTAGATTTGGAGATACTACTCGGACATTATTTTGCTTCCTCCGGGTATAGGACATGGTTGTTTCAAATTTGTATTCATTGTCCATTTGGAATTGTAATAAATTATTTTACATTTTATTTTACTTAGTTGCTTCGTTGATAGCATCACCAAATCCAGGACTAGTTAGTTGAGATTCTCCATATATGCATTTTGAATGGTTAAACGGTGAATTATGGATTCATTTATGTTAAATCTTGAATTATATGATTGTTAGTTAATTTAGTATGTAATTAGATTTATGAGGAAGTTTAGATGTCTAATGGTGGGACTTGATGATGATTAAGAATTGATGAAGATGATTGAAAGTGTATGTATATTGTAAATTTTTATGGAGGATATATATTATTTTTGGGACCCTCCAATTATAAGGGAAATACTGTTGAAATTTCGATAGGAAGTAGAGAAAAGATTAAGGCTTACGTAGTCTATGGTGAGTTACCCTATCCCGGTCTACGTGCAGGTCGTGACTTGCCGCTTCGAGTCATGACACCAAAAGGTGAACCTCATTCATATTTCTCCACGTCATTGTGAACAAAAGAAAAGAAAATAGCAACAAGAAATATGCCCATGGCTTTTTAGACTTAGGACATTCATAAAACGAAGTCTAAAAAACAAAGGCTTACATAGTCCACAACAGAAAAACAAAACCTCTGCACCAGAAAACTTTACTAATCTCCTAAAGCCAAATCATGCCAGGCATCTGCATCCACATGTTGAGTCTTCTGATCTGAAAAAATGAGCAAACCCAAATAACTAGGGGGTGACCATTTGGTTTTGTAACATTTCGGTTAATATAACTCTTAAAAAAAAAAAAAAAAAAAACGAACCAAGTAGAAATTTGGTTTTTCAGTGAAAACCCCTTTTTTTAATCAATTTTCTTTTTCGATTTTTTTTAAAATTTCAATTTTTCAAAAAAACTGGAAAAGTCATATGTGATAGGCTAATAAATATGCATGATAAACTTACTCAAAACATTTATGGCAATAAAAAAGAAGCTGGTTTGAGGAGAACAATCCCATATCACCCAATAAAGTGATATGCTCAGAAACAACTCACAATAAGCATGCAAATAAACATGAACATATGACATATCCCATCCAGTCGGCGATTGCCTGGATCCGAATGCCAATACAATCCTTTGTAACCAAAAAATAAATTAAAAAGGATGTGAACAACAATTTGGAATATGTATATCACTCTCAAATTGCAATTTTATTTTAAAATGACAATTTCCCAAAGGTATTAATTCGTTACATTCCTTCATCCGAACCCGCATCAAATTCTTTTGGCAGCAGCAACTTACTGAAATCTCTTGTTGCAAATTCTTTTCTGCCAATTTCACACATTCAATCATCCGAACCCGCATCAAATTTTGATTTCAATTTTCAATTTTCAATTTCTTACGTTGAAACCCACATCAAATTTCAATTTCAAAATTCGAATCTTGCCTGTTAGTGTTGATTGTTGAGGGTTAGAGTGGGAGGCGTTCAACCACACGAAAACACACATCAATTCGACCACTTTATGAGTTATGACTCCGCCCAAAAAAAAAAAAAAAAAGATTTGATGCACTGAATCGAGCGGAGGAGTGAGGCGACTCAATCAAGTTTGCAAGAAACGCTAACTGAGTCAAATGTGGGTTCTATAAAAGAATTTGAGGAAGATTAGAAGAGACGAAGTGCTTGCCGGAGGCGTGTTGCTTGCTGACCGAAGGGAAGGGGGAAAACAAGTCAGGAATATTAGGATTTGTTACTCTGTTAGCTTGAGGGCTGGGAATTGGGAATTTGGGATGAGAGTGACAGTGTTACTGTGTATAAAAATCGGTTTTTGACTTAAATCTAATTAAAAATTTTAAAAAAACCGAACTGAATCGAAAACCAAAATAAATTGGGTTCGGTTCTTAAAGAAAAACATAAGACATAGACTGGGATAACATCCTCAGCTCGATCGTTGCATTATAACTATTTTTTTTTCATTAATTTTTTATTTCATTATAACTATTTTTTTATAAAGAGATGAATATAGATTAACAAAATCATTAAAGAAAATCAAAATCATTTCAAAATTTTATAATTTTTTCATTAATTTTTTATTTCATTATAACTATTTTTTTTTCCATAAAATTTCTACTTAAAAAACATGATTTACTCTTCTTTATTCAGGGATTCTTAAATAAAAATTTGTAATAATTTAAACCTAAAATATTAATTAAGAATTAAAAAAAAATACTTAATTTTTTTTAATAAGAATGTATCCAAAAAATGAAGTTATAATTAATTTATAGATTTGCATAAAAATTAATCATGAAAAATAAAATTTTATTCTTATTTAATGTTTGTGAGAATTTTCTTTTTCAAGTATTTGCATTTGATATATATATATATATTTCAAACAAATTAGTTCTATAATATTAAAAAATATTCATAGTAAATAATTTGTATTATGTTGGAAGATGTATAGTTAATTTTTAATATAAAAATAAGAATAAAAATTAACTTGATATGAATTTTTACAATAAATTGAAAACATCAATTTTAAACAATAAAAATAGTATATATTTATTCTAAAATCTAAAAAAATTTCATATATATTATATAGTCATCAATTTATGTGAAAAAAGTAATTATGTTGGAAGATATGTAGTTAATTTTTAATCTAAAAATAAGAATAAAAGTTAACTTGATGTGAATTTTTATAATAAATTGAAAAGATCAATTTTAAACAATAATAATAGCATATATTTATTCTAAAATCTAAAAACATATCGTATATATTATATAATCATTAATTTATCTGAAAAAATAATGATTGATTTTTCAAAATTTTAACACATAGTTAAATAAAAAAAATATAAATTGATGGAAAAATCAAAGGAAAAACTAAAATAAAAATGTGTTCTACATCAATTAAGAGATTGAAATTTTTATTTTAAAATTATAAGGACCAAAATGAAATAATTTAAAAATTATATAAAAAATTGGGTGAATAGTGATTTATGGGGGAAGGTAAACAATGAAACTCACGGTTCAAACCCTTCCACATTTTGTAGACATATAGTAATATTAATAACTATTACGCCTCATATTGTTTTAGATGCATGTCCGAACTAGTTTTAGTTTCAAATTAGTTTTTTTGCTCGCGTTACGCTATAGATTGAATAAAATATATAAAATCATTTAGAGAAATCATTTCAGTTTGATAGTTTATTTTATGATGTGAATCTATAAAAATATATGAAATCAAATGTGAAAAAAATTTATTTATAATTTTTTAATTAAAAATTTTGTATTTAACTATTTCTTATTTGTGTTTTTCATAATTTTTCCTTTAGAAAAAAGATTTATCCTTATTAATCCATGGATTATTAACTAAAAAAAAATTAAATAATTTTTTTAAAAAAGCTTTAGTATTTCATAAGATCGTGTCAAAAAAACATAAATAACAATTATTAAAAGCCGACATTGAATTGAATAAATAGTTTTTTTTATTTAATGTTAATGAGAATATCAATTTTTGAAAAAATGTGAATTTAATTTTTATATATTTATTTACAAAAGAATGAATAATATTAAAATAAAAAACTATATTAATTTGAATCATTAAGTGATTAAGCCAAAACATTATTTTAATTATTTAATTCAAAAATAAATAAATAAATAGTAAATGCTTAGTGTAAAAAAATATTATTATTATTATTATATGATCATAATGTTAATAACATATGAATATATTAAAAAATAAAAAATTAAAGTAGTTAGTTTTAAATAATAAAAATAATTAAAAGAAAGCACTAAAACAAAATGGGATCAAATCACAATAAAATTAAAATTTAAAATTGAAAAAAAAGTATAAAAAAATTGAGGACTAAAGTGTTAGAAAAATCATATAAATAATGAATGGAATAATGATTTATAAGTATATGAATAATATTTCAAATAGTAAAATCAAATTTATGGCTAAATGCTTAAACAGTAATCGATAATGCTTCTTAGTAGGCAATGCTACCTAATGAATTTCTCTATGGTACTCAGTGCTCTCTCTCTCTATATTTTGTCAGAATGGACTTGAACAAAAAACAGCTGGTGGTAAGCACTCACTGATTGATAAAATTCTATTTCAACTTTTAGCAAGTAATTGAGATTTCTAGCTTCGACGCTTTCCTGTAATTGTGACGTTTTACGTTAATATATAAGTTTTGATTTTCTAAAAGTAAAACTAACTTAATGTGCTAAATTGACATTTTTCTTTCTCTTTGCAGGATTTGGTCTTTTAGATTTTCAAATATGCAAAATGATGAGGTACTGAGATGCACTTACGATTGTGAAGTTAATCACTCTTTTTCATTTTGGAGAATTGTGAACTGCGTAAACCTTTTTGTTTGGCCTTCTACATTTTCTTCGTGTAAAATGCTACTGACTTTAATTTTTTTTTTTTTTAAATCAAAATCGGTTTTAACCGAAGCTAAAATTTCAGTTTTTTAATCGAATAACATTTCGGTTTGTTTTGGATTCGAATGAACACCCCTGCCTACCAGTGTAGCTATAAATAATTCCGTTGGTGCGTCTGACTGCCACATCTCTATCTTTTGGCATAAAAAAAACCAAAACCCTTTTGAGAGAGAGATGGTGGTGATGGAAGAAGAACAAGTGGAGAAAGAAAGGCCAGTTATATTAAGAGATATAAGGCGGTATTATTGTGATTACTGTGGTATTTGTAAATCGAAGAAGTCTCTCATCACTTCCCATGTCCTCACCCATCACAAGGTCCGTCTTTTAATCTCTATTTCTGTTTCTTTCTTCAGTGTTTTTGTCTGTTTAGTTGCTATTGGTAGGCTTCACCTTATATAGCTAGTTTTCTCTGTTGGGTTGGATCTAAAACTGGAAAATATGCTCTCTTTTTCTTTTTCTTTTTTTTTTTTTAATGTAATTAGGAGCCAAGATTGTGCTCTGTGGTCAGTGTTTTTTATAGATTAATTGTCCTCGTTTTATTAATTATTATTCTGGGTTTTCGCTCTTTTCGATGATTCTGTGTTTATATATATATATATATATCTATTTGGTATTAATTTAAATGATCTTATTGGCTGAAGTTGCTTTTGGAATCTAATTCTTTTGTGGGTTATTTTTGAAATTGAAGATTGGGTAAGTTGAATTGCAGTCTTACCTTTGTTTTTCCTGCTGTTTAGGAGGACATGGACAAACAAAGAGTTGATGGGGATGAGGGAAAGGAGGAAGTAAAATCCAACACTTGCAAAAAATGTGGTGCTAGTTTTAAAAAGCCTGCATATTTGATTCAACACATGCAAAGTCATTCTCTTGAGGTATTTGACCATGATTTTTAATTGTATAGGTTGCTTGTACACATGGTTTTGCTTTATACTTGATTTCCTTGTTCAAATGCTTTTCTTTTTTGGAACATTATGTGCTCTGCAGCTCAAAGTGAGTTGTTAGCGGTATTTAATATTAGCATTTGCGCCGATTGTATACTAAGTATTTTGCAGGATTGCTATTTTATTTTTTAAAAAAATCTGGAAGTTGATGCGTGAGCATTGGATCGCACTCAGAGAACTCCAAAATGCGAGAGGCTTGAAGTTTGGACGTGAATGGGCTAGTATCAGGCTGGGTAACCTCCTGAGAAGCTCCATCAAGTGAGCCTCAATCACGCTCCTGTTGAATTTGAGGTTTGAAGGCTTTTGTTTGTGTCTATTCTGATTGTTTTTAGTGATCTAAGAAATTATTGCTTCTAATGTTTTTGTCAATTTTCTGATTCTGCAGAGGCCATTTGCGTTCTCGGTTGATGATTACCATGCCAGCTATAGAAGGAAAGATCACTTAACTCGCCACCTTCTCCTGCATGAAGGGAAACTTCTCAAGTGTCAAATTGAGAATTGCAATTGCAAATTTGTTTACCCAAGCAATTTGAAAAGGCATGTTAAAGAGCTTCATGATGAGAGTTCTCCTTCCTATAGTGTTGAAGGTGAGAAGCAGTATCTATGCCAGGAACCGGGATGTGGGAAGGTATTCAGATATCCATCAAAGCTGCAAACGCATGAGGATTCTCATGGTAAGTTGCTTTCTTTCCACTCGTACACTAATATCACAGTTGATGTTTCTTGAGATGAGGAAGAATTATTCACAATTTCTTAGCTCTTTTTCTATTCCTTTGTGCCATGCATAATTTGCTCAATGAGTTATGATTTTTGCTAAGTACCATTCATGAACATTTATACTTACAGAGCAGATGTTTTTCTTCTCTCTTCAGCCTACCTTGCTGAATAATAGTGTGTTTCTCTATCGCTGCCATGTTCTTCGAGCCTGGGTCCTCTTCTCTATCCTCTTCCGATAGATGGGTCTATCATGTGTTTCTGAGTTTTAGAGGCGAAGATAAACGGAAGAATTTTATGGATCATCTTTACGAGGCTTTAAAGAGATCTGGAATTCGTACCTTTTTAGATGATGATGAACTTCCTAGTGGACAAGAAATCTCCCCACAACTCGAAAAGGCAATTCAGGAATCAAGGATTTCTATTGTGGTCTTCTCCAAAGGCTATGCTTCCTCCAGATGGTGTCTTTCTGAACTTGCAAAGATTATGGAGTGCAGAGATACTATTGGCCAGATTGTTCTCCAACTGTTTTATGATATTGATCCATCTGATGTTCGGAAGCAGACAGGGAGTTTTGCAGAAGCTTTAAAGGTACATGAAGAACGGTTTAAGAATGAAAAGGAGAAAGTATACTGGTGGAGAAACGTTCTTGAGGGACTTGCTAATCTATCTGGATTTGCTCTTAATGATATGGAAAATGGGTATGCCCTCTTGTTTTAAGATCCACCTGAATGCATGAGTGAAATCATCCATGCCTGATATAGTCCACTTAACATTTATGTATTTGCTTTAAATTAATTACAATATATAATAGTAATAATTAAATTTCTTTGAACATGTTGATCATTGATCACTTCATTTTATCTATGAACAGGCATATATTGAAATTTATCACCAAGATTATCGAAGATGTGCGGAGTAGATTGGATCTCAAAAACTTAAATATTCCTACATACCTAGTAGGCATTGATACTCTTGTCGATGATATTAGCGTCTTTCTAAGTCTTCCTACAGATGATGTTCGCATTGTGGGCGTACATGGGATGGCAGGGATAGGTAAAACAACCATAGCTAAAGCTGTATTCAATCAACTCTTTCATAGATTCGAGGGAAGTTGTTTCCTTTTCAATGTCGATGAAAACTCAGAAAAACCTGAAAAGCAGGTTCAGTTACAAAAACAACTTCTTTATGATATTTTTGGAACAAAGATTCAGAAGATATGGAATATTCATGAAGCAAAAAATCTTATTCGAGAACTACTTAAACACAAACGAGTTCTTGTTGTTCTTGACGATGTGGATCAACCGAAACAATTCAGAGAATTGGTGGAAGAGCGAAAGTGGTTTGGTAACGGAAGTAGGATAATCGTTACAAGTAGAAATGAAGATTTGCTAGATCAACTTAGAGTTGATGAAAAATATGAGGCTAAAGTATTGAATTCAGATGAGTCCCTTCAGCTTTTCAGTTGGCATGCCTTCAAGGTTCACCCATCCAGCAGAAGGTTTTGCGGAGCTTTCAAAAGATGTAGTTAAGTACTGCGAAAGACTTCCTTTAGCACTTGAAGTTTTGGGTGCTCAATTTTCAGAAATGGGCAAATCTGAATGGCAATGTGAAATTGATGAATTGCGAAAATTTCCAAATGATGATGTGAAGAAAAAGCTTGAAAGAAGTCTCGACACACTAAATGTTGATTTATGGGGTATGTTTCTTGATAATTGCATGTTTTTTTATAGGCAGAGATGAAGAATATGTAGCAACAATACTGGATTCCCGTTGTCGTATTTTCAATGTGCAAATCAGTTTAAGAAGGATTGGAAGTCTTATCAAAAGGTCTCTTGTAAGGACTAATTTTAAGAAGGATCAGAAGTCTTATCAAAAGGTCTCTCGTAAGGACTAATTTCAAGAATGAGTTACGGATGCATGATCTATTACAAGACGTGGGACGGGAGATTATTCATCAAATGTCATGTACCAACCCTGGAAACCGTGACAGAATTTGGTCTCATGATGACGCATGGGATGTACTCAACAGCCGGATGGTAAGAACTAATATAAATGCTTACATGCATGCATTCTTTGAGAAATATTTTTGCTTGAACCTACTTCAAAACTGATAGTCTGACATTTTGTTAAATTTTTTTCTCTGTTTTTAGGGAACAAAAGTTGTGGAGGGTCTTGTCCTAGATGTGCAAAGCATCTCTGAGCACTGAATCATTTAGAGAGCTAAGATGTTTACAATTACTCCAAATCAACAGAGTAGATCTTACTGGGTCTTTTGAACTTCTTTCGAAAATGTTGATATGGTTGTGTTGGCATTAATGTCCTTTACATTCTTTGCGTTCCAATTTTCAATTAAACAATCTAGTTGTTCTTGATATGCAGTACAACAATGTCAAAGAACTCTGGAATGGAACCAAGGTACAAAATATGCGATAGGCACCATTTTTTCTGCCTATGGAATTTAATTCTTTTCCATGATTTCTCTCTTATCTTACTCTCTTCTGCTTTGACAGTATCTCAAAAAGCTGAAAATCCTCAATCTCAGCTATTCCAAGTACCTTGCAAGAACACCAAATTTCCTAGGAATGTTAGAGTTTGGAGAAACTAATACTTGAAGATTGCAAGAGTTTAGTTGAGGTGCATCACTCTATTGGACATTTGAAGAACCTTGTTTTCTTGGGTTTGGAGGGATGTTGCAGTCTAAAGATCCTTCCAGAAAGCATTTGTGATGTAAAATCACTTGAAACTCTGAATGTTACTGGGTGCTCACAGCTTGAGAAATTGCCGGAGCACTTGGGTAATATGGAATTGTTAACTGAGCTCCTAGCAGATGCAACTTCAATCAATCAACTTCCTTCTTCGATTGGAAATCTAAAGAAACACGTAAAGCTGTCACTGTCCGGATACGGTTACAAACAGGATTTACCATCTACATGCACATCTTGACCTTCACCAAGAAGTTCAAGCTTGAAAGCTTTGCTGCCAGCTTCTTTCTCTAGTCTAAGCTCGCTGGGAGAGCTAAATCTTAGTTATTGCAGTTTGTCTGAAGATGCAGTTTCCACAAATCTTGGCAGCTTGTTCTCTCTTCGAAGATTGAATTTGTCTGGAAACGAATTCTTCAATCTACCTGCTGGCATTGACTGTTTTTCCAAGTTTGAATATTTGCAAGTTAATGAATGCACCAATCTGCTATCAGTCCCAGAACTTCCCCCAAGTTTAAATGGACTTTACGCAATAAATTGCACATCAATGGAAAGACTGCCAATTCCATCCAAAACAAACGTAATTGTTGTGGAAGGTTGCAAAAATTTAATAGAGATTCAAGGCATGGAAGGTTTAAGGACTAGCTGGGCCATTTTCTTTGCAGACTGCCACAATTTAGCATATAGTTTCAAGAGCAGCCTTTTTCAGGTTCTCTCTATCTCTTCTCTCTTTCGCACAGATACACACAATTGAGTACTAAATATGTTAAGGTCTAAAACATAAGCTTTTCTTCAAATAGGAATTGTGCAAGGGTGATCGGTATGGCATTGTCCTCTCTGGTGGTGAGGTTCCAAATTAATTGGTTCAACCATCATGGGGAAGGACCTTCATTACCGTTTCACATATCGCCGGTTTCAGATGGTATACTCCAGGGGCTGGTTGTTTGGGCTGTCTGCACACGCAATGATGATAGAAGATTGAGTTTTCCAGCTGGTTGTGCTATTATAAGAAATAAAAGCAATGCCATTCAATTGTTTAAAATATCAGTATGGCTTTCATTCATCACAAATTCCACTTACCAAAGTTCTTGGATAAAGCATATAACATTGACTAGACTTTCATGTCCCGTGGAAGCTGGAGAGGAATTGGAACTATCTATCGAACTATATGATGACAACATGGGAGTAGCAAAGTGTGGGGTTCATCTGATAATGAAAAATGCAGATCATATTGAGACATGGGATGACATTGACAGACAAGGAACAAATATAGTGATACCATATCATCATCATCATCATCCCACAGATGAGTGCTGGAAACGTTATCTACTAAGAGATTTGCCAAAATTTGAAATTTGCTTCGCATGCAGAGATTATGAATCCTGACTCGGCATGTTTCCTGGGACTATGCAATTACGGCTGCAGTTGGGCAGTGGGTCAGATACGGCAACTACGTATGTACGTAGATGATCAAATTCAAATCATTTCCTTTTCCATATGAATAAACCATTTTATCTTCGGATTCTCTATGCTAAAAGACATCTTTGTCAGAATGATAAAATGAATGCTTACTGGAAAATGATTACATGTATCCCATGTTTCTCTGTGGAATATTTTACACACTTTTGAACCAAGTTCATGTGGCTACGTAGAGTCATTTGACATTACCTCTTGAATCCATGCCAATGACTTGAGATGCAGCTTGATGTGCAACTGTTGGTGAAGGGAGAAGGATTTAGTGCAACTTCAGTGAGTTTGAATTGATTCTGTCACCATATATAGGTAGTCGTCATCTTCATCTAGCAAACATGGTGCGATTTACTTGTACCATGATTTGGTTATGGAATTAGGTAAGTGATGCAAGAAGCATTGTAGGCTGGTGAAAGCCTTTTGAGTCCCCCAATGCCAGCTTTTGGTGGAGAAAAAGGTGGCATATCCTATAGTTCTTAACCACGGATCCACTTTTGTCAATATTAGCCTTCCAAAAACCCACAAGCATTTGTTCGATTGCAATCTGTGTAGCAAATATTTATTTTAAGAAGAATGAAAATGTGAGAGTTATAAAAAAAAAAAACTTAAACACAATACACCAACAATTCAATTAGTTTTAAATCAATTAATCCGGTTCATATTCTCTTATTTCATTGAATTATGTAATTATGCCATTAAAAATTTCAAGCAATTTGACCAAATGCTAAGTGTTGCTTTAGTTTCGAAGAACAACCTCGAATATCAAACCTTACTTTTGTAGATTTGTAGATAACTATAATCTATAATTATTTTTCTCAGGTTAATTAGATATCAGTACAAGACAGGTTAGGAAAGATTGTTTTAGTAAATGTACCTAACGAATTCTAACAACCATAAGTTACTAAGGACAACTTTTATTAATCCAAATGACTCCAAGTTAGTAGGAAACTAAGAATAAATAATTCTCAATCAAGGTTTTCTTGTTACTGTTCGTCAAATTCTCGTCAAATTAATGTCCATTTTAGTGCATAAATATGCAAGTTTTGTGTCTTAAAAAGAGAAATAAGGAATTGAGAAATCTGGTTTTGCTTCTGTTTCTATCCGTTTTCTTTTGAATGAGTGAATAGAGGGTTAAGAGTTGGATACGTGTATAGATTGCTTTGGGTTTAGAGACTCTCTGGATTCTGGTGTACTCAGGAATAGGAATAAGCATTGCAGATCCATGAAGATATGGAAAAACATGATGAGCTTCTTAAGGATTTTACTGGGAACTTCTTTCGTTGCCTTGCTCTTCTTTCGGAAGCTTGTGACAGCTTCCTATGAAGGGGATACAAAGCATCAAATGCTGATTTTTTACATTAGGCAGAATCTTCTCTGCCACGATCAATAACATATATAAAAGAATTCAGAAAATATTGTAGTACTGAAAAGCTAGGAAAAATAATATGGTAAATAATATTGAGATCAACCTGCGTTCTTGATTATCTTCCAAGCATTTGCCATGTGTTACTCAGCAAAACGTGGCTCAATCCTCTAATGCTTGTTTGT